AACTCCCAGGCTCAGCCTGGAGCCAGGTTCTAGTACCATGCAGAGTGGGAGTATCCTAGAGCACTACACATCAATGAAACAGTCTTACAGATGAATCCCTATGAGTCCGCTGGAACAGGCCAGCTCAAGTTTTTCTTTGCTGTGTAGATATACCCATAAAGGGCTTCTCAGGGAGATGCAGATCCATGCCTTACAAAAGCCTTCCTTCTCAGGGGCAGCATTCTGGGACAGGCTGAAGAATGGCAGGTAACATAGCTGGGGCCCCCCGTTGTGGACAGGAAACAAAGGGTAAGAATAAATGGTAAGTTTTCAGAGTGGAGAGAGGTAACTACTAGGGTCCTCACAGGGTCTGTCCTGGGACCCATCCTATTCAACTTATTTATAAATGATCTAGAGAAAGAGATAAGCAGGGAAGTGGCAAAATTTGCAGATGATACCAAGCTGCTCAAGATAGTTAAGACCAAAGCAGACTGTGAGTAGCTTCAAAAAGATCTCACCAAACTAAGCGATTGGGCAACGAAATGGCAAATGAAATGTAATGTTGATAAATGTAAAGTAATGCACATTGGAAAGAATAATCCCAACTATACATACAATATGATGGGGACTAATTTAGCTACAACAACTCAAGAGAGAGATCTTGGAGTCATTGTTGAGAGTTCTCTGAAAACATCCACTCAGTGTGCAGCAGCAGTCAAAAAAACAAACAAAATGCTAGGAATCATTAAGAAAGGGATAGAGAATAAGACCGAGAACATCTTATTGCCTCTGTACAAAACCATGGTACGCCCACATCTTGAATACTGCATACAGATGTGGTCGCCTCATCTCAAAAAAAGATATATTGGCATTGGAAAAGGTTCAGAAAAGAGCAACAAAAAAATTAAGGGTTTGAACAGGCCCCATCTGAAGAGAGATTAAAAAGACTTGGACTTTTCAGCTTAGAAAAGAGGAGACTAATGGGAGATATGATAGAGGTCTATAAAATCATGACTGGCATGGAAAAAGTGAATAAGGAAAAATTATTTACTCATTCCCACAATATAAGAACTAGAGGTCACCAAATGAAATTAATAGTAGCAGGTTTAACACAAACAAAAAGAAGTTTTTCTTCACTCAGCACATAGTCAACCTCTGGAACTCCTTGCCAGAGGATGTTGTAAAGGTGAGGATTTTAACAGGGTTCAAAAAAGAACTAGATAAATTCATGGAGGTTAGGTCCATCAATGGCTATTAGGCAGGAGGGAAGGAATGGTGTTCCCAGCCTCTGTTTTTCTGCATATGGGTGGCAGCAGAGGGATCATGTGAGGATTATCTGTTGTGCTCCCTCCCTCTGGGGCATCTGGCATTGGCCACTGTTAGAAGACAGGATAATGGGCTAGATGGACCATTGGTCTGGCCCAGTATGGCCGTTCTTATGTTCTTATGCAGCTGAATTCTGGCAGATGTGCATGTGAAGGACCAAACAAAGAAAAGAGGTCAATCATTTTGGAAGGTTTGGGGCAGGAGTCCTAGAAGTATGTGCGTTGATTGAGGCGAACAATAAATGCACTGGAGCTTGAAACAGGTTGGAAGACTCAGTCTTCAAGAACTACTGCACACTCGTGTGTTAACGGGCCCACCAACAAGGGGGGGGAGGAGAAAGGAGGCAACCTCCCCACAAAACAAAAACACCCAGAGGAGCAGCAATGGCAGCCAGAGCAGTGACAGCCAGAGACACGTCCCTCTCCAGACTGCACTGAGGGCTGACTAGCCCCAGCCCTACCCCTTCTGCTCAAAGCCCCTTCCCCTCTAGGGGCACAGAGCAGGCCCCCTCCAATGCCTTGCCCAGGACCCCTCCAATGCCACATGTTAAAATGTTCAAAGGTCTGGTGTTCAGAAGGGTTGTGCACAACCCTTTATAGAGTCAGACTGTATCCTGCATAGGTGGTGCTGCAGAGCTGCAATGCTCAAGTGGCCCTGAGTCATATTCTAAGTTTGTCTGCTACAAGAGGCGACAGGAATGAGGAAACAAGCCTAACCACAAATTAATCCACATTTGGACATACAGTAAAAAGCTCGATATGAGTGACAGATTAGGCCAGTTCTTATTTTATCGGAAAAGTTATCCCAAAATGACCCACATGTTCAGAAAAGTGTCAAGATCCAAATAGAGCAGATAGCACATTAACATCCCTTCAGTCTCCAGATGGATCTAAAATTCTTCCCAGCATTTCTCTATAGGACATCAGGTGACCTATCAGTGAAGACTAATGCAGACCCCCTTCTTTTGATAGCTCACAACCAGGTGTTATTTCAACAAATAGCTTGGTTCTTTTAATGGTTAAGAACCAACAAAAATCACTATTTACATCAGAAGCAAGAGGACAGTCAGTCAATAGAACTGAAAGGCGGGATAGTTAAAACAATTAAAAGGAAATACTTTTTCCTTTGAGTCACATTTAGCTTTTGAAACTCATTGCCACAAAGTATAATTGAGACCAATAGCTCAGCAGGATTCGGATAATGAATAGATAATAAGAACCTCCACATCTATATTAAATCAGTAATTTAGAATAATAAGGAAGAAGTACGAACCCTTATGGTCTAAGCTATGAGCCCCTCACTTGACATAGGAAGATAGGAAATAATGTCACCAATGAAAAAAATACTAAGGGCTAGATGACTTTTTTTTTCTGATCACTCTTAGAAACAGAATTCTGGACGAGAAAGATGATTAGTCTGGTCCAAACTGGTAAATGCTGTGATTGTTACAAATGTTGGAATATTTCTGCTATGATTAAAGAAAAGGAAAAAGACACTCAGGGCTTGTCACCACTTTCCCCAAGATCGACACTGAAGAGATCAACCTCAATGTTCTAGTAAGAAACTGCTAAATCGACCGCTGAGGGTGACTTCATCCATTCCATTACTCCACTGGGTATGAGGATTAAGAGAAGTCAATTGGAGAATTTCTCCCATTGACCTCCTGCAGTGGGGATGCCACAGAAATTTGACCTAAGGTACGTCAACTCCAGCTACTCTATTCTTGTAGCTGGAGTTGCATATCTTAGATTGACTTTCTCCCCAGTATAGGACCTACCCTCGCTTGCCTTTAAAACTAAAAAATACTAATTTTTTTCATTGACATATTAAAGCACAAAACAAAACAAAACAAAAAGAAATAAGATTTTCAAAAGCAGTCAAAACATTTGTGGATATTCAAATAATGGAACACACAATTTTCTTTTAGCATATACAATTGTACCTGGAATTAGTCCCAGATACAAATGCCACCAGACATATATCTATCAGATTTACTTGCTCAACATGTCACCTTCAGAACTGTGACTGTCATAATGAAGTATTTCTGAAAAATCAGACTCAAAATGAAGAGCCCTAGTAATTCAGGGGAATTGGATTGGCAAATAAGATGTTTTTTCAAACTCAGAAACCCAAGGAAAAAAACCCCACAGTCACAGCAAAGTCTCAAAAAGAAAAGAAAACAATCCCTTCAAAGGGGCTATTTTTGTTCTGAGCCCCTAGTCTCTTTGTAGAATGTCTCACATTTTCTCATAAAACAACTGAATCTCCAAATGGAATTATATAAACATTACAAGCTTTCAGCTTTGCTTTTCACACCATGCCTGGCAGGTGAATGGCAGCAATTTCTTCAAGCTTTTCCAAGCAAGCCTAGAGGGAGTATTTTACTAGCTCTCTGCAGCTCTGATTAAAATAAATTACAAATAATGGTTACAAATTCAGACAAGGCATAAGAATCCTCATACTTGTTAAACATTAAATGTTGTGGAAGATGTTGTAATGACATTTTCATGCAAAACCACATATTTTGGAAAGCAGGATGTATAAATATAATCTAAAAACCCATTCCATGCTTAATGAAGAGTACAAAGAGATATTTTTTGAAATAATGACATTTTCTGGATGTAACATAGGGCACAGGAGCATTGCTATTTATCCGTTAATAGTCCCATTGACAGAGAGGGAGAGAGAGAGAGTTATTATTCTCTTATAAAATTTGTCCCCAAAAATTTATTTCTAAAGACGATGAATGTAAACTGCATTAGAGGAATGAGATGACCATCAGAAAGAAATGTTAATAAAATAGACAAAATAGATTTAATTAAGATGGATTCTATTTATTTTTTAAAGTAATTAATGGGCTTTTGAAATTTTGTATCCTATATGAACTTTAACATTCCCATTTCTGAGTAAAATAAAGGTCAATGAATGAAATAGATTGCTTAATGAAAAACCCAATAGAACTCTGTCTCTTCAATACTGGTATGGGCATGAGAGGGATTGAGGGGGAGCATAATGGACCTTGGTGTGAGGAGAAAAGAGAATGGAGAGGCAATAATGTGAGGGGTGGCAGGCTCTTCATGAGCACCAGTTCTCATTTCCCTCCCTCCACGTGTAATCCCTGAAAAATTCAGCAGTTACACATTTACAAAAATAAGTGCACTTTAATATCCCTAGTCTTAACTAGGCCCGCTAAATCAAACACCAGAAGAGTGATCTCCAGCATGGTAAGTATAGATGTGCCCATAGACTCCTTGGAAAAATCTTACAAATGTCAGTTTTAACTTATGAGCACAGTGACAACAATGAAGAGCCTTCATCATTATACCAAAATGAGTTCTGGATTGTGCGCTAAAAGGTTACAACTGGAGCCTTCATCATTATACCAAAATGAGTCCTGGATTGTGCGCTAAAAGGTTACAATTATATGGAGGTGAAAGATTGTTTTTATCAGAGACACTTTAAAGTGAACAATTAGGAATTGTAATTGCTGTACCACAGCATATACCTCAATTGCCAGCTTTCTGAATGAAGTAGTATGATTATTCCCATTAAGTCCTTCTTTTGCTTCCATAGTAAAGACCGCATATGAATTCGGTGTTTTAAATATCTAAAGCATGCTGCGGTAGCACCATATTCCAGACAGCAAAATAGACAAAAACTAGTACCTGATTATTTGGGTTTTCTATTCTTTACAGAAAATGAATAGTCAATATGTGCGCTTTGAAGTGTTTGGATGTGAAACTGAGGAACTAACAAACTTCTGGGAAAAGACCATTGAAAAACAAACTCAGCATCTGCAAATTGAAAAAGAACGTCAACAGAGAAGTGCTCTGCCAAAGTAAGTGTGTGAGTGCGTGAGAAGGGGTGCCCGGTTCTTTGGGCTGGCGTTGTAATCCTTTTAAAAAATACATTTAGTGCAGTGACTTTCCCGGTTCTTTGGGCTGGCGTTGTAATCCTTTTAAAAGAGTAAATAAATACATTTAGTGCAGTGACTTCCAAACTAAGGGTTGTGACCCATTACTGGGTCACAGACCGTCCAGCACTGGGTCGCCTTGCTGTAGGGTGATCAGGTGACCAGCAGGGGTGCTACGACAGGCTTCTTCCCTGTCCTGGCACTGCAGACCCCTCTGTGCCCCAGAAACAGCCAGCAGCTGGGCCAGCTCCTCGGCTGGGCTGGGTGGGGCTCCCTGCACTGCCTCCCCCCGTGGCCTCGGCTATGGGGTCCCATGCCTAAGCAAAAGCAGCATGCAGAGCCACATGTGCACCTCTGCCTGTGAATCAGACCTACTACTGCCCACTTCCAGGCACAGTGCAGTCCGTGGTGCGGGGACAGGCAGGAAGCTTGCTTTAGCACCCCTGCTGCACTGCTACCTGGAACTGGCTGACAAAAGCCCATGCCCAAACCCTGAACACAACCCTCCATCCCAGCCCTGAACCCCTCCAAACCCAGAGCCCCTTCCTACACTCCAAACACCTCATCTCCATGCCACCCTAGAGCCTCCACCTCCAGATGGGGCCTGCATCCACTCTGAAACCCACCCCATTCCAGCCCGGAGCTTCCTCTCACACCCAGAACTCCTTTGCCCTGCCCCCCAGCCTGGAACCTCCTATTCTACTCCAAAACCCTCATCCTACCCCACCCCAGAGCCTGCACACCCAGATGGAGCCCTCTGCCCCCTCTCCTCTCACACTCCAGTCTCATCCTGGTCCCACCCCATAGCCCTCACTCTAGTCAAAAGATACAATTATATTGGGCCGTGGGCCTTATCAATTTTCTTCAACTGGGTTGTGAGGAAAAGAGTTTGAAAACCACTGGTTTAGTGCATGCAATAGATGCCAGAATGGCAGCCCAAGGAACTGGGGTTCTCTCAGGGGCAGCCCATCCATATAGGTGAACTAGGCGGTCGCCTAGGGCGCCAAGCTAAATGGGGCGCCAAATGGTGGCGCAATATCATTGAGGGGTTTGGAGGTGAGAGCGCTGATTGCATGGTTCGCCTAGGGCACCAGTTGCTGGCAGCTAGTCTAGGACCGCCCCTGTTTCTCTACACAGAGCTTCGTGTACTGCCTGCCCCATGTGTTTCAACCATAACCTCAATGGCCATCCCTGCTCAAGTCATTAAATCTGACTTACCCCTTGTGATCTGTTGCTGTGTTTAGCCTCAGCTCAACAAAAGCAGAAATCTGGCCTTAGATCATTTTAGCTTCTCTAGCCTTGCGTTCACCAGGAAAAAAAATTCTGTAACCTTGGGCAAGTCCCTTAATTTCTCCATCTTCAGCTCCCCACCCGTAAAATGTCTCCCTTTTGTCAGACTTGTCTATTTGTTCTTTGGGCCGGGAACTGTCTTAGTATGAATCTCGTGCAGTGCCTTGATGATTGGAGCCTCTAGGTATTGCAATACAAATAAACTCCCACTGAATCTATCTGGTGAACAAATAAGAAGCATTGCTCCTGGCGAGAATCTTGTAGATTTAACTTTACTGGCTCAGCCCTGGTCTACACTAGGGCTTTATTTTGAAATAATCCCCCTTAGGTTGAATTAATAAAGCAGAGTGGCCACACTACCATGGCTGTTATTTCAAAACAACAGGCTACTTATTCCGAAATCTATACTCCTGCTTTCCTTGGGAAATAATGCTAATCATTTCAAAATAGCGGTAGTGTGGATGCTCCAGTGCCACCATTTCAAAATAACTACTCCCTAGAGTAATTTGAACTAATTATTCCCCAGTGCTTCCTGGGGCTCTAAGCTGAGGTAGCACATGCACATTAATGGGGTCTGCCCGTAGTGTGGACATGCTATTTCAATTTTGTTATTTTGGGAGTTATCAATTTTAGATATTTAGTTATTGTTTCTTAGTGTAAACAAGCCCTTAGAGGGGTAGCCGTGTTAGTCTGTAACTTTAAAAACAATGAGTAGACCTGTGGCACCTTAAAGACTAACAACAATATATAGTACCATGAGCTTTCATGACCCCTTCAAGTGGGTTTTACCCACAGATGATCATGATAACATATTTTCAGGCCCGTACGGGTGAATTTCAGGGGGTGTTATTTTTGTAAATATGAACCACGACAGTGTGAATACACCCCTCATGGTTCCCCAAGTAAGCAGAGAAATCAGTCCCAGCATCCACACAGCCAGCCAGAACATGGGAGAGGGAGGCTCCAGCAGCGCACTGCTCCGGCTTTCCCTTGGCTGGCCAGAGCATTCTTACTTGGGGGAAGTAAAGGGGGGGCTTTCGCAACCTTCACACCCCCTCTGCATATGGGCCTGATATTTGTTAGTCTCTAAAGTGCCATTGGACTACTCATTTTTAACTTTGTCACTCCAGTGTTTTCAATCAAGTAGTGCCAAAGGAAACCAAGAAAGTACTATAAGAGATTGTCCAGCAGGTGGCAGCAGCCAATCTTGAGAAATAAGGGCTGACCCAGCTTTGTCAAGCCAGGAGAGATGAAAATGAGAGTTGATTGTGAGCCCTGCAGCTCAGGTCAGGTTTCTTCCTTATATTAACACTATTCCTAGGGGCATGATATTAGTATATACTCCAGATGAGCAGGATTTGGTAGTTCTCCCAGTGCTACCAATGGAGGACAATGTTAAAATAAATCTGGTGGTATCTTGCAAAGTGCCAGTGATATGGAAGACTGAGGCCTTTTTGGTGACCCAGGTGTTATGTTTCCTTTGTTAGGCTCAGAACTGAATGGAAGGAGAGGTTGGAAAAAAGGATTCAGATGATGAAGGCGCAAAATGAAGAGCCAGCTAGTTGAAGATTTCATGCTTCTTACATATTTGGGCAACGATGTCTTGCAGAAGAAAAACATAGTGTATTGCAAACACCCAATTTATTTTTATTTACAAGCTTCAATAAGATTTATGTTACAGTACCATCATCACGTATAGAGTTCATATGTGAAACCTTTCTATTACTGCCTATGAGACCTATTACCTATTATGAACACCTCATTCAGTGAAAAGAGAATAAAAGTATGGATCCTAAGTTGTGGTTCTCTGCTCCAAACTACTGTCTGGAAAAGGAATTTAGTTTCAATTTAACTAAATGCTCAAGGAAATATTCTCCTGTATATGTTATTAAATACGCCGTAGGTTTCTATACATACTGATATTATACAGCAATTTAATGTAGTTTTCCTTTAAAATTGCTTAATACATTGGGGGGGAGGTTAACTACTATGAAACTACAAAAATATACACGCACACAGCATACACTGAAAAATGTATTCATTTATTATTAATAAACTTTAGGAGTAGGTCCATTTCTTCCTCCTTATGACAGATTGTTCCAAAGAGTATCCCTAACCTCTTACTAAAATTGATGTGTTTCAATGAAGCAATGCTTGCATGTTGCTTCTGTTTTAGAGCAACAGGTTCATTGTCACTTGGAGCACCTGGAGTAAAGCACGGCAAAATGCGTTATTTTAAAGTACACACTAAAATCCTTTTCCTTCAATTGCTCAGTTGCCAGTCTCTTGCAATGACATCATTTGAATAATTCTCCAGTTTTCCATATTTTTCTAGGGTAGGCAAGATTGTAATTGCCAGTGGGAGGGAAGGGAAATCAGTAAAAGCAAGATTCTGGTGCATTGTAAAGCACATTAAATTTTTTTTTTCTTTGTACATCACATTTCAAATGCACTATTCTGGTGTCACCTGAGGGCAAAAATACACCACCACCACCACCACCACCAAATCTGGCATCCAATTGAAGTTGTGCATATGGAAATGACAGATTGATTGTGAGCCTGAAAAACCCCCCCACAAAACCATAAAAAACTATCTTGGTACACGTGTTCAGAAATCAAGTCGTCAGAACTATTGAAGAGAATTTCCCTGCGGGCTGAAACTGCCTAAAATATGCTACGCTCCATTTCTTCAATATGGTTTTCTTACACTGCTTTCAAAGTGATATCAGTTAAACTGGAAAGGCATCTTATTCCACATCTACATAGGGAGGTATAACTATAACCATATAATTATACCTGTAAATTTCCTTATGTAGACAAGCCTCAAGGGAATTAGGCACATAACTCTTACTAAAACTTAATGGGAGCTCTCTCCTTGAAAATCCCAGCTTGTGCAGCTCAGATCTCTCCTCACTTGCCTGTGCTCCGCTCCTACTAAATCAAAGGCCAAATTCTATTCTCAGATGCACTGGATTTTACATTGGTGTAGCAGAGATCAAAAATGGGACTCAAGGGTCAAAGATTATGGCTGCTCTACAGCCTAAATCAACATAAATTATGTTGTTCTGGGATGTGAATTAGCCACTCTTGTGGGCAGATCTTTCATTAATCAGGAGTATGACTAGCTACTCTATACACTGTTAAGTATTGGAGTTATATGTAATACAGTGGCACAGAGAGGCCTCAACAAAGATCAGCCAAATAGGCAAGACTACTTAAGTGCCAGTAGGGACAGCATTACATCTGCGAGAGTGTATCCCAGCAACATAGCTACCACCACTTTGGGGGGGCTGGAGTCAATGGGATAGCTTTCTCCCATTGGCTTAAAGCAGAGACATTACAAAGCATACAGTATCTGCGCAGCTGCTAAAAATGCAATACAAGAATGACCCAGACTTATTGGATCTGAAAAGCTAGGAGTGAGAATTTCATCACAGGATTCAGATGGATTGACGACTTGCCATACCTATTCTCTCCCACTGAACCGAGTCATGGAAAGCAGACCTGTCAAAATCTACAAGAGAGAAAGGCTGAGAAACAGAGAGACCCCACTTTCAAAGTACTGCCCCCTGATATTTCAGACTCCTGAGATCACAGAACTTTATTTCAGTGATGTTGCAGAATGATGCATTGTGGGATGTCTGTGGCAAATTACATTGTGCCAGTAAAGTGAATAATTTTTTTAGAATAGTAAACTGAAGCTTATCTTTGTGCTGAATGCATCTTCCGCAGCCTGGATCCTGGGGGCTCTGAGAACATATTTCTGGATTTAGCCAAGTGTTCAGTTCAGCTTTGCAATTTACCTTGAGTGTTTAGATGAATTATTTTTGGGCTCAGGTTTCACAGAGTTAGATTTAGGACTTTGGTTCATGTTATCTTTATTTCTGCAGGTGTTAGCAACCCATTTTGATTACAAACTCAATTTCTTTTTCAGGGGCAATCTGGCAAGTCACCTTATAGACTGCTAATAACAAAACCGTACATTCCTACAGCAATAAATACAATTTAAGATCAATCAGCAAAAACTAAAATGGGATAAAACTGAAAGTCTAAATGTTAAAAAATAAATGTAAGCAGGAGCAGAATGTGAGATGAAAGTGGGATAAATTGAAAAGATGGGGGTATGAGTCTATAATCGCCTTGAAGGTCATTATAAAAAAAGTCAAAAGGAAGTGAAATGTTAAGACAAACTTTAAGGCAAGCAAAAACACTGAAAAAATGTTCCCTTTCTTTATAGGACTGAAAAAGTTGTGATTTAGTAATTGATAAAATTATGTGGGCACTGTAAGATCATTATTGCTCAATATCACTCTGGATTATTATCTGTCGCTCTTAGTAAAGGCAGAATTTTTAGCAGAGTGGGATGTGCAACCAATATAGCGATCTCTCAAATTATTTTAGCAGAGTGGGATGTGCAACCAATATAGCGAACTCTCAAATTAAAAACAAAATATACACATACACACACACACACCCCTTCTTCAAAAGCACCACTTCATTTGATTTTTACAAACCAAATTTCCACTTTGGTTTCGAGTATACCAGTGGGATATTTCAATTATGCCAATCCATATTAATTACATTTGGGGATTAAAATAGGATGTTTACTTATTCTTTCTAGCTTTCATTATTTTACCATTCTTCTTCCTCACCTGGATACAATGGTACTAGAGATGCACTATGCCTCTTTCACAATGCAGAACTTTTTAAAAGAAGAACAAAAAAAATCAGAAGAAGCATAGTTTTACCATCATCTAAAACAAACACTAAATAATCTGGATTCAGTCCTTCTCAGGCTCTGGGAGAAGTATATTCAATGGGTCATGTGAATAACACTTAACCTGCATTAATGGCCCTTGTATTGTATGGAAAAGGTCCAAAGACCGTGAAGAATGATTATGTCAATAACTTAACAGACTTCTGCCTCTTAGTTTAACTGAAATTGTTTAAAGGAGACCTTAAATACAGTTCCTTAATGTTGTTCCTGACCATTATTTTTCCACAAACAAGAAAATGTCTTTATGCTTGTTTATGCAGTTCATTGGACCTGAATGACTTACTGAAACCAGAGCCAAGTTATTTCTTGCTAATAATACAGTACTGTCAATTTTGGCTGCAAGTCCAAATGCGACTGGGCAACCTTTTACCCAAACCTGACCCAGCACAGCTTCCTTAATGAAGAGTATGTCTGGCTGCCCCAGAGTGCCCCTCATGCCTTCACAAGAGGAGGATGGTTTGACAGTGATGCCTATAGGTGGCAAGCAGCAAGCCCTGCGTGATTCCATTTGTGTCCTGTTAACTGTGTGTGTGTGTGTGTGTTTGTTTTAATAGGGGGTGTGTGTGTGTGTGTGTGTGTGTATGTGTGTTTGTTTGTTTTAATAGGGACAACACTAAAGAAAGAGATGAGGTTTCATCCCAGTGCAAACATCACTTGTCGTCACGAATCTTACTAGATATTCTATACAGTGTTACAGTATTGGAGTTATTTGTACTACAATGGCACAGAGGTCTAAGCAAATATCAGAAGCCCCTTTGTGCTAGATACCATACATTCATTTATTAAGAGACAGTCCCTGTTTCATAGAGGTGACAAGCTAAATAGGCAAGACAGAAAGAGCAGGCAGGAAAAACAGAAGCAAAAGAAGCTCCTATTGGCTGGAAACCTCTGTTTGAATAATCCAGAGAAAACTTGAAGCTTGAGATTTGAAAAATAAAACCATCCATGCCCAGCACCATCAAAGACTGTAAGATCTGGTGAATATATCATCAGGAATGGATTGGGAAGAGGATTCCTAGGAAGCAAAACTATGGGGGCAAGAAGTAAAGAATAAGACTACTCAGTAGGCCCAGGCAAGATGAACTTAAAGAAGTAGGATAGATATTTTTAGAAGGTCAGTCGAGGATTTTGGAGGGATGGGTCATATCTTGAAACTAACAGGGCTTGTGTGTGGTTCATTTGAAGGACTAAGATTCAGAACTAGTGTTACTTGAACTGGCCCATTCATCCCTATTTATTACATCGGAGGTCTCTGAAAGGCATCACCACACTTGTGTTGGTCCACCTGTTGCACACACACTTTAAGGGCTCCATACACATTACAGAATTTGGTCTGCAGGATAAAATCTTAAGTCTTTGGGACCAGTTTTCAAACTTAGGTGCCCACTTTGCATCAAGTGCTCCAATCAATCATTAAGCATCTGCTTTAGCACCCTAAGTACCATTGTTTTTGGGGCCATTTTATAATTGGTGAAAGACCATATTTGAGAACTACACAACACCTCAGAGAGCATAGAGCAGCTCTCATTTTGATCAAACCTTCTCATATCTTGCATGCAGCAGTTGGTGGGAAATCCCAAAGATTTTTCTGGGCTGATGCACTAACTTTATATGGCTCAATATCAAGCCCATTCAAGTCAATGAAAAAATTCCAGTTGACTTCAATAGGCTCAAAATTAGGACCATGGTCCTGAAAGGGGAAGTCTCAGTGGAGACAGTTATGCTATATGTACCTTACAATGATTATGACATGGTGTTTGTAGACAGCATTCTACCTGTGTGCAGCTTCTAGCAGCCATTTTGAGCTTCAGAGTTCTGTACAGTCTGCAACAGAGACAACCTGCAGAGTGTCCTCTCACACAGAGATGTTACTTTTGTTCTCTTGACTTGCTGTTTCTTTTATATAAAGTAACTGTCATTATCACACAGTTTGCCCTTTCTTTATGGGAAAACATAACCACTCGTTCCATCATCTCTTCTTACTGCAATCCAGCCAGAATA